AAGTCAGCCCATGCAGCCCTCCGCTATTGTGCGGGGTGGCATAAACCCCCCGGCGGGCTATCAGCTCCCTGGCAGGCAGGGGGCTGTGCTATTCAAAGCGCGAGATACAAGCTGCGGGGCACAAACCTGGCAGCTCCCATCTGACCCCGCAATCCCCGGCTGGTGACAGCTCCAAGCTCCATGGCAAATTAGGCCTTCTCACATTACAATTGCAGGAGACAGATTCCATTAGCGGTATCTGAAATTGAGTGGAGAGCTGCTCTGTTATCAGACTTGACTCATAAGCGCCGCTATTAATCAGAGCTATGATAGCATTTATATATTTCAAGCTATCTGCTGCCGCTGTGATATTCTGCTACAAAGGGTTGATGGGACTTAGGGAAGTGAACAATAGAGCTTTCTGGGAAAAGCAGAGTAAATCAAGAAAGTCTGTGACTTCCGCACATTCTGAAGGGATTGCGGTTTACATAAATTTTCTCCCAATTGGAGATTGAGCTCTTCCTCATCTTACACATGGGATTTAGTTGTCACTCAATGGTAACAGCTGTGAAAAGGTGAAGCGGCCCACCGCTCAGAATATTGCCTCCGCTTTTAAAGCAATTAACCCATGAACAGGAGGATACCTGGTGATATCAAAGGGATTAAGCCAGGCAGTGCATTATTAACATTTCCTTGAACTAATTCTAACTCTGACTAGCTGTCAGAAAAGACTCTTCAGTCTTTAAAAAAAAAAAAAAAAGGAAAAAAAAAAAAAGAGTTTTTTGCCCTGCTTTCTCTTCCCCCCCCTTCCAAATGAAGCAGTTATTTCAGCCTAATGTGCGTACTTTAGAGCCGAATGCAAATGAACAGATTTCTTCACGTCTTCACAGCAAACTCAATGCCGCTTTATTATGGCTACAGAGGGGAAAGAAAATATATATGATCAATTAGTCAGAGGTCACAGTAGGTAGTCTCCTAAAAGCAAATCAACACTGAAGTATTTTCCATTCTTCTCTTTGCCCTAAAACTTACTAACTACTTGTTACGTGTGCTTTTGAACCCGTATTTGGCTACAATGGCAATAATCTAAAATAATCTGTAATCTGGAATATCTAAATGTGCCCTAATAGATGATCTGTCACTCTGTGAAGCTCGGTGTTTACTTTTTCTCATACCTACAGTCAATGGGGCAGCGGTGGCTGCCAGAGCATGCTCTTCTCCCTCACTCTGCATCCAAATCCCCCTCCAGAATCCCCTTCCTGAAGCATTTGAAGCTGAAGCATGAGGATGCTCTTATACCCTGCCCAAAATAAGGGTCAGGCTGCTGGGAACCCCATCACATTGCACACCCAGAGGATGCATCTCAATACATGCAGTAAGCATATTTTTTGAGCACATGACAACTCTGGGGGGCTTCCACACTCCCTTTAGCCATGAGCATCCGCTGGAAAGGGCCACATCCTCCCACACACCTTGTCCATCAATGTGTCCTTCCCACAGGAGCATCACCAGAGCAAGGAATCTCAAAAGGGCCTGAACAACAAGTCTAGAACACCTCTACCATAACCCGTGCACATCACCACCAGCCCTCACTGTTAGCATGGGGAAAACAACAGGCTCCAGCTTTCATGTACAGCCACCGCTTGTTGCTTGGCAGAGTGGTGGGGGATACATATGTCTGTTTATATACATATATATGTGCATATATATATATATTTCTAGATGTATAAATAGAAGTCCATATAGACTTTTTTCTTATGTGTATAAAAGTCCATGTATATATATATATATATATATATATATATAAAATATTCTCCTAATATGTATAAATAAAAATCCCAAATTTAATGCAACACGCAGAACAGCAGCCGAAGAGAAGCAAGCTGCTCAGCCCAATGCAACATTTTTCTCCTTTTCAAATGCTCACGTGCAACGTGATTGCAAGAAGTCCTGTGGAAAGGACACCTTCTACTCTGCGACTGCACCTGCAATAATTCAGCTTTGTATGTCTGCACAGAGCAGAACAGCCACGCTATGGAAGGTAGGAAAAATGCAGCTAGAGCAACGAAAAGCGCACTATTTCTATTCATAACAGAGAATGCAAAGAACGCATCATCTGTGCAGAAAATTACACTTTGGCAATCATATTATAAGAACATAATTGGTTTACTTTGTCAACTTGCTATGCTTTGCCTCCCACAGTAAAACAAATAAATATTTGTTTAAGGAAACAATCGTAGAGGCGCGCTCGCCGCGTCCTAAAAACATAATGCTGCTCCCCCGTCTTTCAAAGCAAAGATGAATTATTTGCATCAGTTACAAGCAGTCGGAGAAAACTCTTTGTAAATGCCATTTTACGATAATTACAAGCGATTCCTTAAGACTGCGCGGAGGGGAAAAACATATTTGATAAGTAATTCAAAGGAGCAAAACGCTCATTCAGCGATAGTCTGGATTACTGACAAAAGGGTTTTTTGCATCCGCGCGGTCCGACGCAACTTTGCTGGGAGAAGCATAGTTCTGTGTTTAGCAATGAATCAATCAGAAGGCTGAGCTGCTTCCCATCGCCCTGCAGAGCATCCCGCCAGCGAGCACCTGGGAGAGGAGAAATCTGGTTAAATGATGAACGGACCGAGCACGGTTTGGTCCTAATCCCACGCGCACCGCGGTGCCCTAAATAATGCCACATCGTAACCCTTGTGTTAAGCAGGAAAAGAAATTACCCCGACCCGGCGGTGGATAAAGTTGGGAAATGCCTCTCTAACAAAAAGGAGAGGGTGATGTAAAAGGAATAGATGTACTGTAGGCAGAGGCTGGGAAATGCAGAGCGATCCCCTCCCCGCCCCGCGTGATGGCAAACTGCACCACGCCGGGCTGGTGGGTTCGCGGGGAGAAAAGAAAGGTTTTAGAGGTTAAGTTCAGGTCAGACGACAAATGAAATTGTAACAGCCCAAGTGACATTGTATAATGTCTTCTTCCACTCAATCAATAGGGCACTGTGAGCCCCATTACCATAGAGATGGCTTCCTCCTTTCTGAAGGGTGTCTATTGTTTGACGAGAGAGATTTGCCACTTGAACCGTGCTGCTCCCAAAGGATGTGTACTTCATCAATTATTTGTATTCCTAACATCTACATATTTTCATATTAACGTCCCCAGCGTTCGCACGGCAGAAGGAGCGGCCGCTCGCTTTTCCTCTGGTACCGAAGGGCTTTCAGGGGTCACCCCGTCAGCTCAATTTTAATTAAAAGACAAAAATGCAGCAGGATTTGATAGCCTGGTTTAAAGCTTTTGTGAAGACACACAATCCCAGTTCAAAACAAAACACGCAGATATCGGAGGCTTTGGAGCAGACAGTGCCAAGCAAACGCTTTCGGAAAGACTTCGGTTTGGTTTAAGCAGGTGGCAAGTTAGAGAAAGAACTTTTTTTTTTTACCTTAAAAAAATAATAATCGATTTTAAGGTGCTTACAGGGAAAACCACGACATTGTAATTTGTAAATAAAAGTGACCCACAGCACCTTACAAAAATCAATCACCGCAAGGCTGAATAATTGATTCTGTCACTCACTGCCTTACATCTATGAAATAATTTTCAGCAAGCTCTGATAGTTTCCACCATCTCCCACTTCCAGGTTTTCCGTTCCTCGATGCGAGTTTCACGTTTTTCAGATGCAACCCCTTCCAAACCCAATTAAACAATAACAACAAAATTAAAACCTCTAGAAGCAGAAAGAAAATTCCTAAATTTCACTCATCGTTCCCCCTTTGCATTCCAGCTTCTCTGAAGCGATGACAACATCCCTTCATACACACAAAAGGGGCATGTGGGGGAACAGTCATATTTGAGTTAGAACTGTAAAGCAGGGCAGATCTCTACAATAACTGCAACAGCTGTAATTAAAAATATAAAAAGTAGAATTCAATGCTTAAAGAATTCAGACTTGGTGATCCTTACGGTTCCCTTCTAACTTAGGATATTCTATGATTCTATAGTCTAAAATATTGAGCAGTTCCACGCAAGACTTCTTAATGTAATTGGAAAATGGGCTCACACGGGAGGGCAACCCCCCACCAAACACACATTACGATGCAGGATGCTCCATAAAAAAGGCACTGACTCAATCACACATCTGACCCAACACTAAAATCAATCCTACTCCATAAGACACAGCACAGCACCCGGACAGAACCACGGACAGTTCTTGCTCCCACCCATGTTTTAGAGCTGCATAGGATCCAGTCCCATTTATTCCTGCTTTTATTCTGAGGCTTCCCGGGGGTGGCAGGGTGCTGTGAGCTGGGTTAGAAAACAGCTTTTCTCAAAAAAAAAAAAAAAAAAAAAAAAAAAAAAAAAAAAAAAAAAATCAAAGGACAAAACAGGGTGCTTGAGGACTGCATCCCCAGCCCTGATACCATTTCAGATTTCACTGCCATCCGCAGCCTAGAAACGTGCCCTATTTTCCCCGTCAAAGAACATTAGAAATTGTTTGTCGGGGTTGAGGTAATCCTCTCCAATCTGGGTCAGGCAGAGGTTAAGTGCAGGGAGAACTCGCACATCAAAGGCGGTAGGGGTGAGCGCATCCCAGGACCGCACACCTCCCATGGGCAGGGTGTGGGATGCAGGGACGATGCCGTGGGTAAGGGACAAGGGTACCTGCCTCTGCTGGGAGCTGTGATTAAACCCAGCTCTTGCTTTAGCCACAGGTGAAGCTCATCTTGTTAATTCAAACGGACCATCTGCGTCTTCCAAGAACGACAAACTTCATTAGTTCTGCTTAGTTAGAGCGCTTGCTGATTTGCGATAATGAGCCCCAACAGCCTGTCACCTCTTTGTCAAGAGAAGGGGCATACTTTTTCTTATCATTACTATTACTATTTAAAAAAAAAAAAAAAAAAATACAGAGAGAGCAAGCTTTTGTGCAAGAAAGAAGGTCAAATTCAGATTAAACCACTGCTCCTTTCACCCAAGGAACTAATCCCAGCCAGGAGCTGCCAGTCGGGGGGGGCTCAGCCCCATACCTGAGCACGGTGTAGAAGAGCAGCGCAGCTGCCACAGCTCCCAGCACAGCACACAGCAGGTTGACACGGCCCGCAGCGGCCCCACTGGGCAGGAGCCTCATGGCCAGCCCAGCCAGCAGCGTGAACAGCGGGTAGCCGGGCGGGTGGGCGACCTGCAGAGAGAGGGATGGGCTCAGCAAGAGGACTGCGGCATCCCGATCCAAGCAGCGCATCCCAGCATCCCGGTACCCAGGTATCCCAGTAGCCCAGCATCCC